TTATATTAAAGTTTTTCTTTATTACCCATTCAAGCCGTCTCCAGCCATTATTAATATACATACTTGTTTGATAAGGTTCGTACACAGAAAAAAACTATAAAAAGGATTATTTATATCCTCACAAATCAAAATTTTAAATTGGACTGCAATAATTATTTAATCAGATTCACGAGTGAAACACTGTAGGTCTATGAAGCCATATGTGCAAGAGAAAGAATACAAACATATTTATAGCCCAACATAGCAAGAAGTTGAATCTTATTGTACATTTCTTTGTGACTATATGTGGAAATATGTGGCAGAAAGAAAGAAAACAAGAACACTTGTAATCTTACAGAAAAATGAACTAAATAATTTTCTACATTACTGTGTGTCCAGTTGCATGTACTATTGGTGAGAAAAAAAATATTAAAGTATGCAGATCATTAATATGATTACAGCTGTTGTTTTTTATATATAAAAAACATATTTTTCTCTAGTCATTCAAGTGACTAAGTTCATTTCTTATTTGTGACTACTTAAATTATTTGAACATAGAGTAAGGACTTTTATCTAAGCAGAACTAGTGTTCAGTGAAACAGATGCATGTGTAGACTAGTAGAGAAAAGGTGTTATAAACAGGTTTTGTGCTCCATCATTCACCTTCATTGAATGTTTAGTAATGTCAAACACTACTTTTGAAAGGAAACTAGAAATAAACTTATGTATACGTGTTTTGCTGTGTTATAGACAGTGTAAAAACATGATATTCTGACTGACCTCCAAACCTGAAATAAAAATCATGTAGATGTAGTTTTTGAATCTCCTTTGCTATGTAAATGAAACTTGTATACCTTGAAAGAGGAAACCGGTTCAAGTATATATATATATATACATTTTTAGTTTCGTGATTGGCTTGTACTGCATTTTCTGAATGACAACTTTACAGCTCAGGAGATTTCTAAAGATAATTATTAATCTATCAATTTATATATTCTTAAATATCGTCTCTACTTGTAAGACAACAATTCATTATAGAATAATTTCTAATATTGTTCAGACAGATTGTATTTTAATAATTACTTTGAATGTACCACAAAATTTCAAACTGAAATAACATCAACAGATTAAAAAAAATTTATAAACAAGCAATGATTTTAAAATAGTTTATGCTGTTTTTGATCAATTTAACTTGTATTTATATGGTTTGATTTTTTGTCGTGAGTATAATGTTGTAACCTTAATTTTACCTGTATTAAACTAGAATATTACATGTTGAAAACAAGGTAGAGCTCTTTTTGGTTAAGAATAATTAAGAGATTGGAAAGAAAAATTTACTTGATAGGAATGAAAAATAACAATATTAATAGACTGCAATTGTTTTTCTACCCAGAAATGTGTAGGAATACAATCGTTGCCACAGGAGTTTTTACTTCTGCTGAACTATACAGAGTGTCCAAAGGCAAGTTTAATAAATTATTGTTAAGCATGTATACCAAAAAAACTGTTAACTTACACATGTCTAACATGTATGTAACCTTAAATCACTTAAAGCTTGTTTAACATATATACATATATGAATTTAACAAAAATGCAACTTTTAATTATCATGTGTGTGTTGCAGAATGTTATTAAAATCTTGTTGTGTAAAGGCTCATATAACTTACAATTTAATAGTTTTCATACTAAGAACTAGCTGTTAAGTTCTTCTAAAGATCCACTTGATCTAGAAATAGGACTTTTTTAAGCCACTATCCCAGGGCTAGTCACACACACATTTTTTTGCTAATAAGACTGTGTACAAGAAATACTGTTTTTATCAAGACTTCAGCTATAAGCATACCTGTAAAACCATTAAAATGTTTAAAGAGTTTAAATATTGTAAATTTTTACTAAAAACATTTTATTCTATAATAAATAATAAAATAGGTTTAAATATTGTTAGTATAACATACATATATCCAAAGATGGTTTGGATTGATACAATACCACAATTTTTGAAAATTCAAAATAACAAACTAAGTAGCTTAACAATGATAAATTGCAGAGGAAAACATAATTTTTTGATTGGCTGTAATATTTCTTTTTCTGCTCTTGGAAGTAAGTGGTTTAAACATGTTGAGTTTGACAAATTAATATCACAGTTTCTCCTTGAAAAAGCAACAAATTAAATGTTTGGATATATCCAGAAATATATAACGGATGCTCAGTATTAAGGCACTTGCCCTATTGGACGAGAGCATGACATTGGCAGCTAGTTTGATTCCATTTCTCACTTGTCTCGAACTATTGTACAACAATTAACAAGAAAGGTATAACGTTGTGACAGAATTAACATGATTGTAACATATCTACAATATTCAGCAGTTCTTTTTATTCAGTAACTACATTTTGAGAACTTTAATAACTAATGTTAGGAATAATTGAAATATGTGATTTAATTAAAAAAACAATTATTAGCAAAAGATAATTATTTTATTTTCACATAGCAAATCAAGAATTGTAATAAGACAGAACAACTACATTAATAGTTTATTATACACCACATGAAAAATATTTTTATTTTATTTATTTTATTGTTGAGCTAAATATTGAATTATAATAAATTTAAAATTCATTATTGAATTATAAAATCAAAGATCATTATTAAATAAGTATCATTGAAAAAAAAATATTTTCAGTATAGTTTCTTAAGTACAATAATTGAATCAAATGTTGAAAAAAAAATTGTTTAAAGTTACAAAATGTTTAAAATATTTTTAAAATCACAGTTTTATATTATTGAGAACAGATGGAAAGATGTCAGTACTCCACTTTAATACATAAATTGTTATAAATTGATTTTAATAATGAACCAAAGATATTTCTTAACTTTTTATTTTATAACATATTATTATATAATTTAACTTTATTGTTCCTCTCCAATTGTGTCTGTTTTCTCATAGATCAATAGAAAGAACCAGGTATATAATTTATACTGCTTTATTCAAATATCAACTTTTGTGATGGTAGAAATGCATAAATATAGTGAGAAATTATAATCATGAATATATAAACAAGTAATATCAGTCTATGAGGCAGGTTGCTTTCTAAAGAAACCAATTACTTTGATCAGTTTGGATAGCTAGATAAATTATTTTTTGGGGTATATTAAAATTCAATGATTTATGATTATTAAGAATGCTATAAACTATTCCTGATCTTAAAATTAAGTTAATTTCTGTGTCTGTTTTTATAGTAAATGAAATAGACAAATTATTAAATTTTCTTTAAAATATGTGTATATTAAAACCAGGATATTTTATCTGAGGCTTTTATGTGCACTTGTGTTTAGCCAATAAATATTTACTTCATCATAAAATAAAATGCACATTAATGACTTTTAAAACTTAAACTCAGTTGTTTTTTGTACTTTGATTTTATGTATTGTAATAAAAAATTAAATGTCAAATCCTAGTACTGTTTTAAAGGTGTTTGCTATAAATTTGAAGATTATGATACTATTTCGAGAAATAGATTATTGTAGTAAAGATTTGTTATGATAAATCAGAGGTTAGAATATTCCTCAAAATTTAATTATCATAATATTGATGAAAGTATAAAACAGTTTATGTAACTGTAGGTGTCATAATATCAGATATTGTTGCTCTAACAGTTGGTTTCCTAGCATCAGATACTGTTGCTCTAACAATTGCTTGACATAATATCAAGTATTGTTGTTATAACAGTTGGTTTTCATAATATCAGATATTGTTGCTCTAAAAGTTGGTTTCCTAGCATCAGATACTGTTACTCTAACAATTACATGACATAATATCAAGTATTGTTGTTATAACAGTTGGTTTTCATAGTATCCAGTAATGTTACTGTAACAGTTGTTTGTCATAATATCAAATATTCCTGTTATAACACTTGATTTTCAAGGTATCAGATAATGTTGCTCTAATAATTGCTTGTCATAATATTAAATGTTGTTAGAACAGTTTTTTTTATAGTATTGGGTACTGTTGCTGTAAGTTTTTGTTGTGATATCAAATATTGTTGTTCTAAAAGTTAGTTTTCAAGGTATCAGATACTGTTATTCTAACAGCTGGTTTTCATAGTATCAGATATTGTTGTTCTAATAGTTAGTTGTTGTACTATTAGATATTTTTGTTCTAACAATTGAATGTGGTAGTGTCAGATATGTTAGATACACAAGACTACTTAAAACTATAAACAGTAAAAACACATGACACCAACACATTCAGTCGATAAACCTGCAGGCTAATAGGCTTATCCTAAACTAGTTAAACTATAAACTGTAACAACACATGACCCCAATGCTTTCTGTAGGTAAATCTGCAGATGAAAAGACCTACCCTAAACTAGCTAAACTATAAATAGTTACATACAAGACACATAAACATTTGTAGATACATGTGGAGGTGAGTAAGCTCATCCTAAACTAATTACACTATAAACAGTTTCAACTTAACTACAATAAAACCTGTGGAGAGTAGATTTATATAGTCCACAGTATATTCTGTGGCTAGATCTATTAGGTGGATTTATATAGTCCACAGTATATTCTGTGGCTAGATCTATAGGTGGATTTATATAGTCCACAGTATATTCTGTGGCTAATTCTCTAGGTGGATTTATATAGTCCACAGT